AGGCGTGTCTTTGCCTGTTCTTGGTGCATTTTAGGCTCAGTTTAGCTAGCTTACAGAGCTGATGGTGTCATTTCAACTTCAAAACACTTTTGTTGTCAGGTTGACCATTCACAAATGTCTACCAGATATTATAGTTCATCTTTACCACTAATGACACCATGGAAAGTAACCAAGCAATTTCATGTGTCTACTTTAAGCCTTCCTCCTTGCTTTTTTTTATAGAGCTAAAATTGCAGTTGTCGTAGGTTTTCATATTACATTTCTCATTTACACTAGTTACGGTTTCAACAAGAGGCTTATGATTATAGTATGTCCTCACTAAAATGAGAATGACTTGATGTTTAGATGTTAGCAAAGATGATATTTTAGAATATATAATGTACTTAATTGTTAGGTTATTACTGCTAACATTACACTGAATACTATATTCAAGAACTTTTAAGTCTGTGAATATTATTAAATCAGCTGTCACTTTCTGGTCTTAGAACACATTTTTATTCAGGTCAGTTTTAAGGTGAAAAAATGGAACCGTTAACACTTTCATTTGGGAAGTGATTTAAAAGAAGTTTTTTTAACTGAGCTTTTAAAAAATTCAGTTAATTCAGCAAGGTCAAAGCTACAGTCTGTTTTGCAGCCAGCTAAGACCATACTTGAAACTGAGTGGAAGCTTTATGACTTTTGAGTTGTTTCCAGCCCCCATCGGATGGTGTTACACTTCTTCAGACTATGGAAGGATGTGTAAAGGAGCATATTTTAAAGATACCTGCATTTACTGAATTTAATACCTATGTTAGAAGTCTAGTGTTTTACTTCAAGTAGTCCTACAGGTCAGTAGTTTAAAGCATGTGTCCAAAATTCAAAGTTATTTAACTTCTTAACTATGAACATCTATTTTTAGTGTTTGTGGTTAAAGATTAGCAAAGTTGTATTCACTGTTTAATACTTTCTGTCCTCGTATTTCCTTTATGCATAAATGACAATATATAAGCTTTGAGATGTGACTGCACTGAGTTTCTGCAAGTGCTCAATCAGAATCTTTGCATAAATTGCATGGATATATTTAGAAGTTCCAAATAGATTGTGCTGAGAAAAATGATTTGTCCAACAATTTAGTGTTGAAACTTGCTCTTCAGAGAAAGCTGCCCTCCTATTCATTTCACCTTTAGACGTATGGGGGGAGGACTTTTGAAATGTGCATTCTGTAGAAGGATTTTGCATGACATCGTCAAAAAGTCCTTCTAGCACTAACTGTATTCTATGGGTAGGATACCTCATGATTTTTCTTTATTGTGTAATTTTTTAAAAATTCAGACATAATTATCACTTTTCTGTAAACTTTCTTACATAGTCTTAACTTTTAAGTTGATGCGACAATTTGTCACTTAGCCACACACCTCTGAATCTGTAGGCAGTTATACCAAAACCACATTTTCAATTCTTCCGTGTATGAACGCAGTTGTGATTCTGGTATTGGAAAGGTAGGTCAAGCAGGATTCAAATGTTTATACAGTTAAATAAAAAGTTACTGTGAGAATTTGTAGTGCTTGGGAGAAGTTATTTATCGGTTCTGGGGGAAAAAAACCCGTAGCTTTTGTGTTGTGACATTCCAATGAGATATGGACCTTCTGACAGAGCAAGAGTTCGTTTACTGCTTAGCACAGATGAGCCACAGAGATGAGGGAAATGTAAAATATTTTACAGGAATTCAGCCTTCACAAAAGGGACTTCTGGAGTCAGGATGATACAAAATTTGTATTAACACATACGCTTAGGTATCAATGCCTTTGTACTACTGATTACCTTCAGTTTCATTATTTCAACACGGTTGATAAGCAGTTATCTTCTAAAACAACCTGGAACTACTTTTAAACCAACATGGAAACAGTCCCAAGAATTAGAACTATTTCCACGCACATGGAAAACTATCTAAAACAATCATGTTCAGAGGTAGTACTTTTCCAGCTTGTCCTAAAGACTGAGGAAAATCAACAGTGGAAGTTTTCTGACTGAATAGAGCATGCTGTAGTAGAACTGTCCCCTTTCAAACTGTTGTGGAGGTTTTTTCTACTGCAGAACTTTCTAGAAAGTCTTTGCTGATGTAACCTACGTTACAATACTTCTAAATTTTGCTTTGAAATGAAAGCTGCATATTTGTGTAGATGATAACTGATCTCTTTAAAGATATGATGTACATATTTGGGAAGCACAAAGCAGTGTTTTAGCATTATAAAGCCTAGTTGCACAAATATTTAAAATTAACCTTGTACCCAAAGAATTACTTACTCCTTTTGAGATAGTTAAATTTCAGATAATGTTGCTTTATAGTGTGTAGTTCATTAGTGTGAATTGGAATAGATGTTAAAAGAAGCTCTGATTACCTAGATATTCCCACACTCACAAGTGGGTAGTGAGATAGCAGAATGCAATTCACTTTAAATCCTGCTTTACTGTATTCACAACATTTTTATATTGTATGTTGCGTGCTTATTGCATGTTTCCACTGCCAGAACTGAAGTAATACAATTCAAAGAAACAAACCTCTTTTTTTAGCTTTATAGACTTGAACTTTCTAAGGCATAAAGAAGATGGGAAAAGTTTATTTCTTGTGCTTCCAGCAGTGCAAGACCTTTCACTTTGGATACACAGAACTTGCAAAACAGAATGATGCAAGGGTGAAGTTACAGTCATTGCATCATGTCAGCCAGTGGAGCAGTTTACAAATGAATCACAACTGCTTGTTTGTATGTTTTCCGTTTCTCTATGAGATCCAGGACCAAGTGGGCCAGTTTTAAGAATTAACCATGATTACAGGCTTTCTCACAGGCTTCTGCTCTCCAGAGCAAAGTTAAGTCTATAGTAACAACCATTTGCCAGGTAGTCATGTGTTACCTCAACATATATATATAAAAATGATTAAAAAAAAAAAAGAAAATCTTTAGTGAACCTGTAACAAAGATAGTCTTACATGTACAATCCAGTTTTTACCAATACTAGTTCTTTTACCCTAGCAGCTACAGAGGTAGCAAAGCGTGTTTACTGTTTACTCAGCGTAGGTTTTTGCAAGAGCACTTGACTACCTACCAAGTACTGACATCAGCTGAATTTAAGACTTCATTAAAAATTCCAATGACATATTTTCTGACTGCTAGGGGACAGTAGTGAACAGATCCAGCTTTGTCACAGCTCACACCTTCTATACAAAGCAAGTTTGCTATGGTAAGCAGGTTCTTTTCATTGTGCTATTGAGAAACAAACCCGCAGGGATATGGAAGCAGATTAGTCACTTCAGTTTCATTCTGCTGCTTCTCAGGACAGCTAGAGAACTGAATGAAAGCCAACCAGTTCCAAAATAAGGCTGCTGTGAACTAAAATAGTACTGGCGACTTGTTGGCACTCAAACTGGGTTGAAGATCACCTTGCAAAGTGTCAGTAGCATTAGGTCTGGGACATGGCAGGAGACAAGAGAAAACCTACTTTTTAAAGTTATCATTAAAATTATCTAAGGGCTTCCAAAAAGAGAGTAAAGGATCCAATCAAATGAGCATGGCAGATTGCTTACCCAACAGGAAGCCGTTAGTCTTTATAGTTGTTTAGAGGGGGAGTAGATCTGAAAAAAAGACTTCTTTCTCTGCATCCCAATGTTGTATCAAGTTGACTAAACTTTCTAAGAAAGATGAAAGCAAAATCTAAGTTTCATCATGGCTTGTTTTGCAAAGCTGTTGATAAGTCACAGTTTCTGACTCATAGAAAACCTGTATTTCAAAGCTTGCTTTTTCACTCCTCAAACATGAACAATACCTGCTTGCTGAGGGACGTAGTTTGAAATTAAGCTATGTTCTGCTGAACTGTCACGGCAAGTCACAGTGAGCACGGATTAGATACCTTCTGTCCCTGTTATATATGTACTAAGTGGATGGCTGCATCTTTAGTGAATTTTAATGGTCATGGGATGTGTGGTGTATTTCATCCTACTCTGTTGGATTACTACAGAGCACCCAGACAGAAAACAACAGTACAATTAAGGCATGATTATAGGATTCCTTTAAGTGCAGTACGGTCCAGCCAGAAGCCTTGCAAGTAGAAGAGACTGAGGTTTTACACAAACTATTTTCAGTCTCTGAGGGAATCCCAGAAAGCCCAAAGAAATTATAAGTCATCTTTTTTCTGTTTCTGTAACATAGGGGTATTAGAAAACATGGGAGAAAATGTCTTAGTTGAGCATAAAATAAGTGAAAATATTTATGATTTATTACAATAAGTTTTATTACCTTCAGTGAAAATATTTGTAAGACATTCTGGTAATTATTCTTAATCTTCACGTGCAAAAAATTGTTCCCCGTAAGGCTGATAATCTATTAGTAAGCTTTGTGACATTTTCTTTTCATAGTTTAGCTTTAATTTTCCAACCTTTAACTACTGAGTTCTGACCATTTGTAACTCAAGTATTTGTATGCAGAGGGTCTCAGATTAATCAGCCAGAAGCCAGGAAGCGCAGTTTCGGCAGGGGGCTGAGGGCCCATATGAGGTACTTAGCCAAGCACCAAGAAAATGCTTTCTTTCATATGAGGTGACTGTCCTTCTTGTCCTGTAGTTCCTCGCCTTACTCACTATTTAACTTCTGCGTGAAATGAAATTGAGCTCTTACAGGCATTAGTCTCCCTCATTAAACAGTCTAATGCTTAACTCTGCAGTGGATCACTAGAACTGATTCAAGCAGTTCTTCTGAAGGGAACAGGCAATCACAGGTTATCAAAGTGCATACACAAAAGAGTTCTTCACAGCCCATCTCTAATTTTATATTTGGATGCTATTAAACTTACTGCTAATAAAATCAGGTCTTACTGTTAATAAATTCAGGTATCTTAAACTATTGTATCATTGTCCATCTCCAGAGTGTCTGAGCATACAGCCTTTAGAAGGCACCTTTGTCTTCCTATCAAGTTTCCTGTTAAAAAGTACAGAATTTGTATACCGATACTAAGGATTTTGTTCTCTTTTAGGATCGAAATAGAATGTATGACAGTCTGAATATGCACTCTTTGGAAAACTCCCTTATTGACATTATGAGAGCAGAGCATGATCCACTTAAAGGTATGTTGTTATGCTAAATAAAGAAAAAAGGGTCATCCATTCTGCATATTTGAATTACTACTGATTGCTAATTTAGATTCTAGGTTCATACTAAAATAGCAAATTAATTATTTTCTCAACTCACATGAAAGGTCAATCTCAAGCTGTATTTTATGGAAAACATTGGTTTACAGTTGTTTAAAACTTAAGCTTTAGTGTCTTCATAGGTGTTTCTCCCTCTTCTCTCCATCCTTCCTTCCTTTCCTCCAAGAAATTCATAGTTAATTTGAAATATACTTGTCTGCTGTAGGAAATTCTACCTCAGTTTGTGAAGACACACTGTTCTGTTAGAGGTAGCCAAAAAAAGGGTGGGAGGGAAATCAAACTGCTACCAGTGTTAGCTGGTTAATTTTCCCTTTCTTTGTAGTGGAAGCTGAAAAGAAAATTAAGTCCACTGATAAATTCAGGTTTTGTCCTTTCAAATATTTTTTTCAAAGCTCCTGGAGAATAATAATGCATCTAATTGTCCAGTTTCTGTTTGCCTGACGAAATCCAGAAATACACTTGGCTTTAGAATGCTGGTTCCTCTTACCTTCCGGGCTCTGTTCAAATCATTTGGCCACAGCAGTAAGCATATAGCTAATATTTGTGGGCTTCAATTTTAACTTCTCTATTCGCTGTACATTAACTCACTCTTTTGAATTCTGTTTTTCCATACTTATTCTCAGGTGGCGTTTACTGTTGAACCTTGGGGCAGGGATCCCAAGCCATTTTATTTGGCCTGATCAAATATTACTTCATTTGCGGTGTTATAATTAGACTAACACAATCTAACTTTAAAATTACCCAAGACTCAGACTTGCTTTGCAGAAATTAAGTCTCAGTATTGAAGCCATTGAAAAAATTAAAAATTTTAAAAAATCTTTCTTTTTATATCATTGTTTACTCCCATCCATTCTCCATTTCTAGAGGCTCCTAGACTTCTATATATATTACATTAGGACATAAAGGCATGTATTCTCCTAATTTGAAAGACACTTTGCTAGAGTCTGCTCATGGTTCTCTTAAGATCTATAATCAATTGGAGATTGTAGTATTCTGATAGCTTGTAATAGTATTGTAAGATTTACAATGTAAAGCCAAAATTTTGGGGGGGTTATTCAAGCTGAAAGTCTCTACAAAGCATCAGTAAGTAGGTAGCATTTAGTTACGCAGTTGATTTTCCTCCTCTTTAGAGTGGAAGCTGAGATTAAATTTTCTTAGATGGTCTTATATCTGAGTTCCTGTTTCTTACTGCCTACAGAGAATTAATTACAATTTTACCAATTTCATCATTTAAGGCCATTATTACATTCAGTTTCTGTCTACTCTGCATGTTTACAAAACATTACTAAGTAACACAAAGGGGTTGAAACCTGTGAACAGTTAGGCCAGTGGTAACTGCTGTGGACTGAAAGCATATGTAGGTCATCAAAGACAAGATAACTAGTTAGATCATCCCTGTTTCAAAGCATTGTTGCTTCAATTTACCACACTGATGTGGTGACTGATATTTCTTTGGTTATCTGAACCCAAATCTACCATCAGGAAGGATATTAAAAGGTAAAGCTACTATTAGGCATAAAATTAAAGAATGCGGATCATCTACCGCAATATACTGTCATTGGCACTTCTTACATTCCTGAAAACCAGTCAGTTTCTTCACTTTTTTCTGTGCACACTGACATGATGAATGGAAGTGGTTGCTCTGCTCCCCTTGCCATCTCGCTGTTTTTATTTCGGCTTTGTAATGCAGAAGCTTTTTCAGAGGCACAGCAAGCACAGGAAAGACCCAATTTTTATTTTTATTCATCTCTTCATATTTCATTATGATACAATAGATGAAAACTATGTATTTCCAGTCATAATTTTTCAGCGAGAATAAGCCAAGACAAAGCCTTAAGATTTTAAAGTGAATTGGGTTCATATATAGACACTTTTGAAAAACTCAGTAAAGTTTCCATAGTTATTCTGTGCTTTCCATGAGTATATGGTTTCAATCTACAGCTAAGAGATTATTTTTTTTAACAGTTTCACCATCATAGTCTTGCAGTGAAAATTTTGCAAAGTTTTATGTTTGAACTAAAACAGATGGAAGCCATAGATAGTGATGAATTCAAAGGAAATCTATTTTTTTGTTCGAGTGCCAGAGAACAATGCACATGCCAACTGAATTTAAATAGAGGAATTGCGTGCTGTTATTGAAATTGGTTAAGATTTTTTTCTCTTTGAAAGTTATTATTTCAGCTGAAACAGCTACGTTATTAACAGTAACACACGACAAGTGTTCCTTACTGACTGAAAATGGGAAGAAGAGATCACATCCTAGAATATAGCCTTTTAGTTCATCGCTACTCCTCTTCTGTTTAGTCACCATTAGTTGGCATTTCTGTAATTTCATAGCAACTTTAACTTTTTTTTTTCCTCCAAACCATGAAACACAAATTTTATTATTTCAGTCTCTCTGGCTTTCCTTTTCACCACAGAAAATCTGACATTTACTTAAGAACCCATCATATTTGCTTGCAGAATGCACAGGATTAAAAATATTAGTTATTTATTTGTTGTTCTTAGTAATTTATAACATACTTTGTTGTAACTAAAGAATATTCTGTAACTAGAAAATATTTTTATGACAAGTTTTTAAGTAATTCTAGGCACACTAAAACAATGCGTCTTTTATATCTGACCATAGCAGTAAAATGAAAGTCCTTGGAATGTTAAGCACGTGTTTCAGATTTAGCTGCTTACACTATCTGGAGTATGACTAAGCATCTTGTCTCAGATTTTGCACAACGCAGAACAGACACTGTGTGTACTAGCTCACAGCTTTAAGTTTTGCCTTTCAAGATCCATTTTAGAAGGAAGTTAAATTTCACCCCTTTTGCTTTCATGAACTTGAAAAAACTTTATTTCAAATATGATTAACTGAAAACTAAGTTTATGCCTGCCAAAAATTTGTTTATAGATGAATAGTTTCATCTTCACTTAGACAAAGTTTAGTCATTACTAGAGACATGATCAAAATAAAGAAGTAATTTTTAGCTTTCAGTAAGATATTTTTTGAAGGTAGGTTAATAGGGAGTAGATGCTTGACTTCACTAGTCATTGCAGCAGAAATACCGATCATATTAAAACTAATCTTTCCCATGCAGCTTTCTTGAAATGCGTTTCATAATAAGACATTAAGTAATGTTTAAGATTACCCCATCCAATCAATAGAATATAGACTGAAGTTAAAATTAGTAAGAGTTAAATTAATTCATTTTTACATCATTGTTGTTAAATATCCTTTTTATTCTTCTAATAGCCCTTAAAAATATTTTGAGAGAAGAATTACAATATTGGTATATTGTAATACATGAGTATTGGTAGTATAAGTCTTTTCCAGACATACCTCTTGTGTACTTGAGCATTTTTCCCCTTCTGCTCCCCCAAATAGCCATGTTTCTTGATGTCAAGATGTAGAAAACTTGGATTCTAGACATTTCAGAAACAAAAAAGCAAATACATTTGGGCTAAAACAGTTCATGAAAAGAAAACTTAGGAGAAATGGTTATATTTTGCATGGAATATGTATTAGAATTGAGAAGCAGGTGATTTAAGGGAATTTATTATCTACTGGTTTAAACATCTTTCTATTAAAGACTATGGTAATTTCCATGTAATTTAAGGGCTTGTCTTTTGTAAGGCAAGAGTTTTGATACTGTACTCAATTTACAATTTGTTTCTGTTTCCTCACCAACTCTCTTACAGTTCTGCGAGCTAGATGTAAGGCAGAACTGAACTTGAATTAGCCATAGCTGTATTAGTGGGAGTAACAAGAAGGAATATTAACTTTATATTGCTTTTTTTTTTTTTTTTGCAAAACAAATTTTTTTAGGAAATTTACACTTTTTTTTTATAGCTAGTAATGAAAGTAAAACACTATTATTTGGCTTATCAGTGGGGGAAAATAACTGGATGCACTTTGAAGTCTGTCTTGCTTTTTCTTGGTTTTATTTTCCCCTTAGATTGATTTAGTTGAGCTTTTCAGCTGTACACATCTTTCTTTTTAAAAGCGACTTCCTGGCACATGCTCAGTAAAGTAAAAGGAAGAGCACTGGTGACTCAGCAACACAGTACAGAAAGAACATTTTTTTCTTTGCATATGATTAGTTTTGTTTTCAAAAACCTTTGGTTTATGTTTTGTGTTATGAAGCTCTAAGGTTTAAAATTATGCAATTGCTTCCTAGAGTAATTAAAATTGTGCTTAGAAAAAAGTGTTTGGGGCTGAACAAAAAAAAAGTGTGGAAGAAAAAACTTCACTCTTAGTCATATAAAAGGCTTTGAAATTGTACATACAGATTGTTTCCTCTTTCTGTCATGGAAACTTTTTATGATAAAAGAATGTATTTAAGACTGGTAGACTCATTTGCCTAAATACATCAACTATCAGAGAGAACACATTTGGCCTCATTATGACTTACATAATTCTTACACAAGCGTTTCAAAGTGTAGTATCTAGGCTTTCTGTAACTAGGTGTTGTCCAAACATGAGCTTGTGCTGTTGTCTTTACGCTGATTCAAAAACAGAGCTTTGTGAAACTGCTGCAATCCTCAGCCAATCACTGGTCTGTTGAAGTAGTTTGGGAAAAGCTTAACTTGGAAGCTTTTTCTCTTCTCGCCAGATGTCTTGAAAAAAAGGAAGATGGGAAAGGAATTGGTGATTCTCAGTCTTTTATTCAACCATTTACGACTTTGCGGGGGGGGGGGCAGGGGCAGAAGGAGTAGACATGAAGTATCAAACTCGTGAAACTGTGAGTCAGCAACGTTTAAAGTGGTTGTTATATTTAAATCTATCCCAAATGTTTTAATATATGGAGATCCCTCCAACAGTTTCGTTAAACAGGAATAGAAAGTATGCATTTCCAAAAGTAGATATTAATTTGTCTTAAAATGAAAAGTGAGTAAGCACAACAACATCTGTACACTCAGAAGCAGCTTACAAAAAATTTTTAATTTCCGTTGCCCATATTAGTAACATGAGATTACAGAAATGTCGCTAAAACCAAGTTTGTTACTCTTTCCTCGTTGTTTGGATTAACAAGTCTTTTAACTGGATTTAGTGGATAAACTGGCCCACCAAAATGTATCTGCAAGCTTTTCATTTTTTTCTGTCTTTACAGAAGAGTACATTGTGAGAAATACATACCAGGCAGTTCTGTTAACATTAATCCCATTTAGATATGGAAGAGGGGGCTAAATTTAGTGGAACTCTAGTCGCATAAGAAATGTCAAACATACCTGCTTCTCCTCAGCAATACTATTTTGAATACGTGAAAATTATTAATTAGCAATAACATGATGAGGTTGCAAGTTCAGGTTTGCACAGGGAAAATTTCTATAACATGATACTTTATAATACAGTACTGTAATACTAGGTATTGTATTTGTGCAGATAGCAGCACATTACTAATTTTGGATGCTGTGGAGCTAAGTTCTGTAGACAGCAAAGTGATTACTTTTCATTTCTCAGGAATGGAATGTATCTATTATTTAAATATTAGCTATTCTCTAAACAATTTGTAGTTGATTTTAAATTAGTAAAACATCTTTATATTTTAGTAAAATTTCTTTTTTAAGCAGGCGGAGGCCACTGGAATCACTAGAATATCTATTGAACAGTTTATACGATTCTAGATTACTGACATTGAAGTAGGATGGGATTAGATAGGATTTGTGGTGAGGACAGTTCTTAAAATGGTACTTTCTTTTTAAATGCATCAAACAACATGCAGTGAAAATAGCTGAATAGAAAGAAGCGTGATAAAATCAAAGTAAATTGTTTTAAGATGGTACTCCCATCTTCTGTATTTTATATACTGATATTTTAAATGAGGTTTAATATTGTATGCCCATTTAGTTAGAATAATCTGTTAAAAAATAGTGTAATCTGAGCTCTGAATAAAACTGATCTTGCACCCAGTTCCATGCATGAAGTATTCTGAATTTATGTGTAGCATTAAATTCAGGTGGACAGCCAGAAACACTGCATTTTGCTTCAACAGGTTAATCTGAGGGATAAGAACCTAAATTAATGAATTAAATAGCAGTAATTGTATTTCAAAAAAGTAAGCAAACCTATGTTAAAAATGTTTTTAAGGTTGTAAGTCCAAGTGCCAGACAGGGTAGTAAACACAAGTATTCAGTTCACTAGAATGCAGTAATACAAAGTATGATTTCATTGAAATAACCATGTAAATAAGAATTAAAAGAAGTATCAGTACACCTGCACACATACTGAATACTCTGTTACTCATTTTCCACTCTAACCCTCAAATAATTCATTATCTGAGCTAGCAAATTCATCTCCGTAACGCAGCAAGATTGGGTTGCTTTGTGTTAGAATAGGTTTTACCCTGCAGTAGTAGTGGGTCTAGCTCCTTAGTGCACTGTCTCCGCACTACTTAAAGAGAAGTAGTGCTTTATTATTTCAACTTTTTCACTTAGTCACCTATGTTTCAGCTGCAGCTTATTTGTGAAGCTTTAGGGGGAAAAAAGGAAAAGAATGCAAACCCAGAGTTGTAAACCCAGAATTTACTGTCTTCTAAACTTTCCTCTCCAGGTGTTGACACTGGTGGGCTTCTCTCTCCTAGGCCTTAAATCTGACCTCTTTTTCTGTAGTAATTGCATAAAGAAAAGTCTATTTTGTCTCCCTGACTGAATAGGAAAAGAAGATAAATGTATACGGACAGGGAGAAAAACTGTCACCACAGACTCAAGGAGGCTCAAGATGAAATAATCATTTCCCACAATTTCTATTGTTATACTAGATAGATACAGCATTCTGATTTGCAAGATACAGCTCATATTATTGCAAGTATTTCTACAGCACTGTATATAAACATGATGGTGAAAGTAAATAATCTTGTAAAATCCTTGCTGTTAGGCAAATTAATATTACCATTATAGACCAGAGAACTAATAAGTAAAGCAAAGTGACTTGTTACACACCAGGCTGAGCAAACCAGTGGCAGCTCCCAGATGGCAACATAAGGATGCCCTGTTCCTGATTATTTTCCTGTTACACCAGCGTGCATTGCTAGAAGGGCAGAATATTTATAGTTCCGATAAACATTAGATACAGCTGTAAATGTTCAGCATGACATAAAAATTGGCTTGTATGTTAAAGCTGGACGTGTTGAAGATAAGGAACATGAAGACAGAGGCTCCTGCAAAAGATTTCTGTTTTATCTTGCCTAAGCCTGCTCAAAAAATTCTGTACAACTTGAAGAAGACAGCGGAGTCCTTTTGGGTGGCATTCATCTGCGCTTTTCCAGGAGGCTGGGCTTGCCCTTCACCACTTTCTCCACGCCTTCAAATTGCAAAGCAGAGACTTCCTACCTAATCTGTAGGTGTTCTGATAGCATCCATTCTTATAATAATGAAATCTGTAGGAAGAGAGATAGTACATGGCTGTATAAAAATCTTTTTGCCACATTGCCTGTAAAAAATAAGGCTGAATAAAATATCCTAAATGATCTTAATCTTGCTATTTTGAAGTTTTGAGTGTAAAAGTTCATAACATATATTTTTTCTATAGTTTTTCGTAGAAAATTAACATGTTGGGTTCCTAGAGGGGAAGAGCAAAAATTAAACCTTATTACTTAAAGATTTTCAGAAAAAAAAAGAAGTTTTTCTTTAACCCCAAAGGTGTCCCTTGGGACACAGAACTACTATTTCAAGAAATTTCCAGACTTGCGGCTTAGTCACATGGGTTTACCAGCAGTAGGGGGGGGAAAAACCCCATATAGATTGCTGATTTGGTTTTCTTTCCTTTTTTGGTCCTTTTTTCCCTGTGTTTCTTTTTTGGAAAGAATGAGCATTATTAGGGTGTGATAGTGCCTTACTCACGTCTTGCAAACCATCTGCATATATATTTCCCTTTAAACCTGTGTGAGTTCTAAAGACCCATTGCTTCCAGACTAGATTCTTCTTTATGCCTCCACAAACATTCTCATTTCCTCCAAAAGATTTAAATATTTAAGTTACAGTATTTTTTTACATATGCTTACAGATTATAAGCAAGCATGTTTTAATAGCAAGATAGATGGAAATGTAGTTTTTTGCACATTAAAGCACACTTCTTCCAAACACAGCAGCTATTGTAAATGTCTCTCTAGGTCAGTGTGCACTACTGGTATGTTTACTGCTTCCTGTAAACAGAAAACGTCTCCTTTAATAAAAAGGAATTCGTAGTGAACAGAAACTTCAGCTGTGCATTTTAAACCATTCGTTTAACTATTGAAGTGTAACATGCCACCAATGCAGTAAAATGCAATACTTGAAAAATTCTAATGTCAGGGTATGAGGTTTTCATATAATTTTTACTCAATATAAAATGCTGAAAATATTATCTATCATGCTCTTTAATTTTGTTATTTCTGCAGCTAAACCAGTACTCTAGTTTTGCCGGACTTACTGAAAAATATTACATACAGTGGTTATATGTAATACACCAAGATACAGTCATAAATTGGTTAATAAAATTGTAATGCCTTAATTCCTATTAACATGATTTTTCTTAAATGGATTCAGTAGAGAAGCTCTGAACTGTAGAAATGCCACTCTGTTAAGCAATCTGCATAGTACAGTTATTCACAGTCACTATGAAAGAGAAGACTAAAGCAGTCAGCACTATTTCTGGGTGTCATGAAACAAAAAGTGGCTTTATCCTATTGGAGCTGATCCCAAAGCACATTGCAGATCTTATGACCAGAGAATTAAGGTTAAGAAGTCTGTTCTTGTCAGCTTTAACTTGGGTCAAGGGTATTGTTGGTTAATGTGCTTGGAGTTAAATATTAGCTCTTTATTTCCCTTAGGCAAACTGGAAATAAAGTTTATATTTAAATGCTAAGCAGTGATTCTTCATTATTTTTTCTAGCATAATAGCTAAAACCTCTGCATTTGTTTTGTTTTGTTCTTTGGTTTTTGTTTTCTTTTAAGGTCGCTTGAGTTATCCACATCCAGGGACTGACAATCTTCTGATGTTAAATGGTAAGTGCTAATCTTATAACAGTTTCTAATTATCTCTAGCTTAGCTTAAATCTGACATGTTGGTATAAAATTATACTATTATATTCTGTTATTGAATTACTTGCCTCTAGTCTTTAACACTGATGGGACTGTTGCCATTTTTCAGAGTTGAATTGCAAGAGCTAATCTTGCAACAGCCTTTCATTATATCTAGCTTATTTGAAATCTGAAATACTCGTAAAGATGCACTATTATTTTTTGTTCTCAAGCAAACCAGTGGTATGTTCTCCAAAGATCTGCTAGAAATCTGTTCTACAGAAACAGGAATTAGAAAAATAAGAAGGCCAGAAAGGCGCGGTTTTCTCTCTCGTGTAAAGAAAGGGTGAACTAGATACTTTCTATTACACTTATGTAAAATACCATTTTATTTTTATTGCGGTTTTTGGAACTGGCGTTGTCAAATATGTTTCTAACTGCGAAATATGCTGAAGTTAAGAGTTCATGTTCACGTTCCTCTCCCAGTAGGTCAAACTTCATGAACATCTGCTACTCAGTGAAGGCATGAACTTTAGCCTTTGTTCAAGGCTAAAGAAGGAAGCAGAGCTTGGTAATCCATCTAAGTCAATAATAAATCAGGGGTTTTGCACACAAATGTTTTCTACATTGGGAAAAATTAGAGCTATAATACCACAGCTTCTCTAGATCAGAAAAAGTGGAAGCTATTGTACACAAAGCAAGTACACATTTGTCATTGACTTGATAGGTCTAAATGTTACCAGTAAAGACCCAATTATTAAAAAATACAGTCAGAATAGTTTATTTCGGGTTTGTGGTACTGTGGAGTAATTGCCTTACTCTTTTGCACAATCATTTACACTTGTGCAAACGGATATAAAATGTAAAAAATATCTAATTCCCTTGTGTAACACTGAGTAAATGTTTAAAATTTTAAGGAAATTCATGTTTAGCTTTATATCCAGTAAAGGAAAATATTGCATAACAGACATTTGAAGAATTAGGTCCTTTGGTATTTAGTTCTTTAAGATAATGGAGTGTTTTGAAAAGCGAAAATAGCTACTTAACTATTGAAATAAAATTAATGTTTAGCCCACACAGGCCATAATCCTGATTCCTGGTCAGAAGTTACGTTGAGTATCAATGTGCTTGATGTTACAACCTTTACAACAGTTAACTTTCTGTATTTAACTCCAACTGTAAGATCTATTCTGCAAGCTGGTTTATTGAGGTGGTATATGTGCAATTGTTGTTATCTGCTGATTTATAATGAAGTGTTCGATGGGAAGGTATTAAAACTAAGCCATTTTATGAGCAACTGTGAAATATTTCATTGCAATCAGTGTAAGAAATTAATATTTTTAAATTAGTTTGTTTCAGTATGTAGAATGGTGAGTTTCTCTTTTTAGTTTTGCGTGCTAAAAGAGCATGTGGGAAGCATTGTTACTCTATGGAATATCTAAGAAAATAGGGTTTTACTATTATCACAGATACTGGAAAAATGCATCTCTGTGGTACCAGTCTATCCTGAAAATCTTACCACAGAGCTAGAATGTGCACTGAAGAATATCTTGGTTTGTTACTAATGCTGGTGGGGTTTCCACTGCAGTTTGGAAGTTAGCCCATAATGCAACTGCTGTCCTCTTTAAAAGCTGCAATATTATTTCCAACCTTCAGTAGGTGAGATAAAAATAATAATTTGAGTATCTGAAAGACAGGTGCTGCAACACCTAATTTTTAGCTGTGCCCTTTAGAATTTAATTCAGAGCCTTGGTTTAGACACCTAAGGTCTCTACCATGTACCTAGCAACTCCGATGCACCTATCAGTGTGCAGTCCAGTGCAATCACATAAACCATTCAGAGCCACCTCAAGTTGGAGTGCATAAACTGCAGCTCCTTACAGCTCGAGAGCAGAAGCACTGGGAACAGCTGCTGGGCATCTCCAGCTGCTCAGGCTCTGCACAACCTTTCTTTCTTAGCAAGAATTGAGGGGTGTCCTCGAAACGTGTGTTAATGAGAATTACAGCTTGGACACTTGCTGATAAAGTTGTAGGCTTAAGTTTGCTTCTCTGCTTAAGTGGATTCAAGCTAATGTTTCCCTATATCCCTGTAATTGGTGCCTCAGAGGGAGGAATAGGGAAGAGGAGAGTTGGTAATCCAGAGACTCATACTTGTCCCTTACTTTCTCAGTAAGTGTTGTAGTTGCTACGGGGAGGAGCAGGAATACCAGACCTTCATGAAAGAAAAGCACCAACATTTTTAAGGATCTTGGGCCCATCTGTGTGCGCACTAATACTTCACACTAGATCATAACCCTCACAGGATTTTAGTGGACTGGTCTCTGAATCCCAGTAAGGTTCTGACATGAGCCAGGCTGGAATTCCTCAACCGTTTTAAGACTAAGCACTTCCAGATAAAACTTATTTTTAGCTAGTTTTTCCTCTTCTTAAATGATAGATCTTTTCCATCTCATTTAAAGTGTGCTTACTGAACTGTACCTAGTATTAATATTTACAGTTTTCATTATTTAAATTAATGAAATGGACTAAAGGAAAGCTGATTTATGTGTTTTAATAAATTATATACCTGATAATTATATGTCTGTTTCAGCTCAAGATGTAAAAAAAGCAATGCATTTTTAATGACTGTTATCTCTCAAAAGTCAAAGAAAGATACTTTAGAATGGGTTTACCTGAGTACATCTTTAATTGTCAACGTAGAACATTTCTGTAGCAAGTAATAATGCAAGAGTCCAATCTGTTGAAGTGTAGGGTGTTTTTCCCCCTTTTATAGTTTTAATGCATTTTAATGGCTCTTGAAACAATTCACCATTTGGTTAGTTTGGCAAGGGAGTATTAGACTTTGCATCTTAAAGATACTTCAGCTGGATGTGCTTCTAAAAAAAGGTGGTTTACTTCAAACAGAAGTTATTAAACTTCCTTTACTGGAATTGCTAAATGAGGTTCTGTAGTCTGTTAGGCATGCCAAACTTGAATGGTCATAACAATCTCTTTCAGCCTTAAAATCGTTAAAGATGTGATTTCTAAAGAAATCTTTATTTAGGCACCCAAATCCAATAAAATAAAATGAGAATTAGACACCTCCTCCTTTAGTCTAGACTCTTGGGAAATTGTTGACGTAATTGTTTATGGATTTCTTTAAATGACAAGTATTAATGAAAAAGACTTCATTACTTCATTTGTCACCATTTGATCATTAAGTCATGAATGTTAAGAACAAATAGTTTTTATCTTACTTGCTATCATAAATTTCATAGTTATCTTTGAATATAGGAAGCTTGCCTAGTAGTTTTTCCGGTTGTACAGCATAATATTTTTAATTCAGCTCAGTTGTTCAGTTGAGTTATTTCAGTATGTACATATTTGATCTCTATATTTGAAATACGTGTCTGAATAAAATAGAAATGATACATTTACTATCTGTGTGATAGCCTTGCTCACATAATGTACAAAATTACATTTATATTGTCTTGATGGTAGATAAACATGCACAAAAAGTGTATTTACTTCTGTCTCTGAGCTGATTTAAGTTGCAGAAAGGGGGTATTATTTTTTTTGACAGGTTTAAGCCTTATTAGTATGCAACTTCAGGGATATAGAAACAGAAGGTTTTAACTGTAAGGGAATGTTTTTGTTGTATATATGGCACTCTTAATGTTGGAAGGTTCCAAGGTTATTGGACTTCATTTTTATTGGCCATCATTATACTTCTTGCATGTGTTGCCTAATTTATATTTTCTAGGAAAAAAAGTGTATCTCTTGTACTTTCTAACTCATTTGAAATCTTTCAGAGTTTTTGGCTAATTAAGATATCCAGATTTATAGACTAAAAGATAGAAAAATATTTCTGTATGACTTATTCTTTGAACAAGTTCAGGAAGGAAGGAGTTTAATCTCTCCTTTTTGCGTTATTGTAAATCCATTATTTGCCTACAGTGTCTGGCCTTTCCCAAAGGGCTGTCTCCTCTGCAATTATTTATCTAAACATATGTACTAATTATGTAGATGTATATATTAAATACATATATAAAAAAACCTATATAGCTAAATCTATAATTAAATATATATAATGTTTATACTTATACAGACCACATGCTCTGTAAGCATATGTGCTCTGAAAGGTGTAAAACATGCATGTTATTTTAATAAATACAGAAATATTTCTGATTGGATCTAATATCTTCAGAATGAATAATCTCATTGCTTACAATGTACTAAAAGTTTGATTCAGTGTAAATGTTTTCACAAGTAGTATCTGGCCTTTGAAAGAAAGTTTATATATATATGTAATGTGGAGAGATTAAAATACTGGTTTCATGAAGATAGGATATGTTTGCTTTAACATATTTTTAGTAACAGTAAGACTTTATAGTTACTGTTACTGAAACAACTTATCTATAATATAACTACTATAATCTTAAAGTCAGGATAAAAATAGGAAGAAATCACAAGTTTTGCAAAACCGTACATTTTGATGTTAATGATCACATTTATTGCAGCAGTGCCTACAGATTGTCTAAGAATGGGATCACATTTTTCTAGATGCAAAGTAAGCAGAAGGTCCCTGCCCAAACTAGTTTGCAATCTAAATGGATAAGACATAAATATCAGGGAAGAGGGTTTGCCATACAAGTAAAGTAAATAATGTGACCACATCAAGTATGGTTATTTTCCCATTTTCTCTGATTTCATTGTTTTGCTGAAGCAAAGAATACACGGATAACTTTGGTACATCATTCCAATTTCCATATATATAAAATCTTGCAGCAACTACCCTTTTAAGTTGAATTGCATTGGGGTTTTTTTAGCATTTTAATAACCCTTTTGTGTTTCTCCTTAAAATTACTGTTGTTTATTTTTACATGCACATAGATAAACAGTTCAGGTGTTCTGTAACAAAATATTTTTATGCATATCAGCTTGTCTTACTGTGATAATATAAGAAAATAGCTGAGCTGGTTTGGTGGACAGAAAGGAGCGGAAGTGGCAGAAGAGAAGAAAAATTACCAAGGCTCGTGCCAAAATATGCTTATTAATACGCATTTGTATATTATTATTTGAGAGGGAGCATGGCACTGCAGTTATTGCCACGGATGTGATGCACTTGAACTTCCCCTGTAGTTTTATTTGTGGGAAAAAAAAAAAAAAAAGGCACGCGGGGGGTTAGACGAGGGCTTAGTGACGCTACTGCTAATGCTATGTGGGAGTTACTTTGGCCAAGAGTCAGAAGAGATTCGTACATGCTGCAACACTGACATAGAACTGCGTGTCTCCTAAGTGCCTGACTTCAGAGGAAAACAAGTCTGAAGGTTGGCATTAGTCTGCCCATGTAGCAGAGAACTAATCACATGGAAGAATACATTATGTTTTGTGGATTCTGTTTTGGTGTGGGAAATCTGAGTTTAGGTGTTTCCCCTTGGTTAAATACCCAAGTCTCTTTCGGAAAGTGGGCTTTTCTGTTTTGGCTTTACTAGTAGAAATTTGGAAGATCTAAAAAACTTTAAGCAAAAGACCATTCTCATCAGTAGTAATTCTTTCAGATGAAGGAAAATAAAGTAGAGTTCAATGCAAGTTGGGTAGAAATATGATGACTGTTCTGTAACAAATCAACAGTTAAGGGAGAAAAACAAGGAGAGAGTTTTTCAGAATTCCATAAGCGATCCACTGAATTCCTAGTAGGAAGGGATGAAGATAAAAAAGAAAAAAAAATTATACTTACTAAAAATTTTTAAAAACCCCATGCAAATGGGAGATACCAGGATATGTGCGTTTAGTAATATGAGAACAGAACAGTGAATGACATTTACAAATCACTGAGTTTATGAGGCTGCCTGTACTTCAGTGTTCCAGAACCACGGTTGCTTTTTGGGAGAGATGTACGTGTGAAGTCCTAGTAAAATCAGGACAGTAATGCTGAGACACAGTAATCTTTGTTCGTAAATGTTGCTATAACATTATGGTTTACAGTCATGTTTTCTATTTGGATATTTAACTACAATGCTGTAATGATTAATCTTTCTCAGATACAAAGTCTGTGAAACAGGAATTGAAAATACTTTGTGGAAACGTAACTAAGAAATTACATGCAGCTTAATAGTTTTTGTATTAGTAATCTTGTCTATTTTTAGTTTCCTAGCCTTCAGGCAGAGAAAAAATCAGTATGGTCTTCTGAACTGTAGCTATAAGCATGATCTCTTTAGCAATCTTGCAAAATTCAAAAGTCAGGAAAATCTTGGATTTACTTGCAGTCTGTCAGAAATCGTTGCTTTGCCTTTGTGCAGTGTTTTTGATACAATGCTATTTCTTGTGACTTGTGCCCTGATTTGCTACCACAAGGAGTCTTTTGTTTCAAACAAAACCTTGCGGTTAATTTTCTGCTAGGTCTTTTCATGAAAAACGAAGGTCACAGCTTATAGCATTTGTATTGTCACTGCGAAGGACTGTACAAACTGTTCCATGGAACAGGATGTTTCTGTGATTAATGTAACGTTTGCTATATGCTTTTCAAAGTAATATTTTACTTTTTTACAATTTCAGCACCCTATGTGTTATTTAGATACTTGTGTAAGATATGAATCACATTTGTGAGGATGAATTACAAAGTTACCGTAATTTATGCATCTGTAATTAACATGAAGTTAAGATCAAATATGAAGACACGTTGAAATATTTTAAAGTATGTTTTTTAAAGCTGGTGCTAACGTCAATTTAGTAGTAAAATAGTATGGTATTTAAGTGAGACTTTAATGCATTCTCATCTACAATTATCAGTAGCAAGTACCGATGCAGATTTTTACTTATCGCTTACCCACATAGTTCTTTTTATCTTAAATATTTTAATATGTGGGCATGATAAAGTTATGTGACATTTTACAATTTGTCCTTTGTTTGCATGCAGCAAGGAGTTATGGGCGAAGACGAGGTAATTCACTTCTGTTTGTTACAGTACAATTAATTCTGATTGAGCTGTTACTGATCATTACGATTAATTAATCCAGATTGTTGATTATAAATGCTTATCTGCATGTTTTCTTAGTTTGGGGAAGATGGAGGGTGTGATGGAAGGAGGGGTGCAGTCTGGATTGATCTCTTTTTGGAGTTTGAATTACAAATTCTTTTAATCAGTTAAAACGCTGTAGTTCTAATCATAATTTAGTTCATGCTAATGGCTACTGCTTGCAATTGTTTCCCCCTTTAAAAGTATACAGTTTGCTAGTTGTTCTTCTAACTCATCTTCTTTTGCTTCTGTAGAAGTGATAGTGTACAGAGTAAAAACTAAAAGCCTTTCATAAACTTAGCAAGAAATCTAGTAGACAACTCTTAGAAATAGTAAACAGAGTTTTGTAGTGTAAGCCAAGATATGCTCACACTGACCTTGGAAAAGCTATACTGATTTAACTATATGAGGATGTGACCTGTAGTTGATACAAAGACCTTGTAAAGCATGCAGGAAAAACATCAAGATCTTTGATGGCTTCCAGTATTCACAACATACACATAAGTTCATGTGTCTCTTGATCTCTGCATTGGTTTATAACTGTTGGCTTGGTAGCCCTAATGTATAGAGGAATCATGATCTAGATCATGGTCAATGCGTGTAACAATACAATCATGTTTTGATAATTCCTGGAAGATTCTCCTTAATTCTTTTCACTGTCATAAGCCAAAAAGAAACGAGTGTTTGAAAGGGTTTATCCTTTTAATTCAGTCATTGGGAGAGATGTGAAAGCCTAACAAATTACCTGTTTGCTCTCTTCATCCGAGAGACATTTAACAGTGAAGAGGAGTAAGAAGAAAGTATTACGAGTCACATAGAGCATGTTACTCTAAATGCGTTAATCCGTTGTCCTCTATGTCATCTTAGCTCTCTGAGGAGCTACAGTGCTTTTGGCAAACCTGTACCCACATTAAAGTATAGCTGATCTCTTCAGTATCACTTCAGAACATGTTCTGATGGTTTAATTTGTACTGGGAAGAGAGCCTTAGATTCTCATTGTTCTCAGATTTTAACATTGGTCTGTGGTAAAAAACCAAATTATTCTGAGGATTATTCTTTATTTTTCCCTCTATATACTTGTATATATTGTAAGTTGGAATTGTCTAAGAAGTACCCCTAGAGAAACACCACATTTTCATGGTCTGAAGAGACACCTTCCTTAAGTATAAATTGTGTATTGTTTTTTAAAGAACAGAACAGAAACTGGAAAAAAACCCTACACACTTAAATGCTTTGTGGCAATATTCTAATGCCGACAAGTTTATTAAAACTGGTATGTTTTTAAGTCACTTAAGTTTCTTTTTCCTGTAGTATAGAGACTTGCAGAGGCAAAAAGCAAATCTATGTGCTTTTTATAAAGATAATCCAGATAAATTTTAGGCTTAAGATGTTAAAAATAATTCTCATATGTTAGTGAAAATCTTAAAATTTCCACTTTTACAGTTTCCTGTGAGTTCCTCCAATTTCAGTCTTATTTCTTCCTTCAGCCACTTTTTCCTTTCACTGTCTATGGAGATGATAACAGCTCCATCTTCTCCATCATTCACATCAGTAATTCAGGAATCTGTTGTTATATCCCCCTTTCTTGATTGTGTAACCAAATCTTACCACTTCTTCGTATACATCTTTAAGATCTGATCATTCTTATTCATAACTGAAACTCATATCCACATTACTCAGCTGCTGCAGTCTTCGTAGCATGATGTGGCTCCTCTTATGTCTAAATAGATGATTTTCAAGAAGAATCTGCCTGGCTGTTTTTTCCAACTGTGTTAACTTTCTGTTTCTCCCTTGCTTCCTCACTTTTCTGCCCCATTGAGCACCAGCTACATGCTTCCACTTTGAAAGGCACTCAACTGATCTGTTCTCTAGCTGTTGAAATGCATCCGTATGATAGCAAGCAAGGATGCCATCACTTGCTCCCTGCTAGTCATATTCTCAGACATATCACCATTCTTAGTGGAAAGGAGGAGCCTGCTACAGCTTTCTGCATTTGCTGTACTCCTCTCCATCAGATGGCTACTTAAGACAAAAATGCGAAATGTCACAATAAAGATGTTGTAGTTACAGTCTTTGTTACTTAGTACAGTCCTGTGGTCCTGCTTTTATTTTGTGATCCTCGTGACATTTTATTATGTTTGGTTGTTTTCTATCACCTTGTGTTTTCATTTGATATTTTTGATGTACTATATTTTTATTATGGATTTAGATACCCAATCAGGGTCATTAGGCATTACCACAACATAGGTCATGATGTTTCCAGTCTGTTCTCCAGCCTCGTCCTTAAGCACTTGATTCTCAGGTGGTCTTCTGGAAGTGAATGGCTTTCATGCTGCTCTCACCCCTAGCTGATCAGCACGATATCTGCAGATATTCCTACAGGGCTTTCCTGGTAGTATTCCCCTGAGAGGGGATAAAAGTTACAGGCTGCAGTATGGCTCACAGCTAAGGTACTGCAGACTCAGCTCTCAGGGACCTACTGTTCCTGCGTGTATGGATTTGCAGTGGGTGAACCTGGAAGAAGTTGACTAGTTAAGATGGAAAATTATCTTGTTTTCCAAAAGTGCGCTAGGTTGTTTCTTGGTTTTGGTTGCTTGTTTGTTTTTGGAAAGCAGTTGAATTACTTAGTAATTATTTAAAAAATGAGTGAGAGAGAAACAGGAGAAATTGTACTTCAGAAGAAATGGCAATGTGGGGTATTTATTTTGCTTTACAGAAGTGTTTATTTTTGGGCTTTTTGCAGTTAAAAGACTGACTTCTGAATTTACAACTGTCGTTAATCTTTATGTTCCTAATCTGAAGCAGTGAAAGTTTGAATAAGCTAAGGTGCATATCCTGAATTTGTACATATGAAATAGGGGGGAAATAAATGGGACAGAATTACCATGTTTTCACTCCCCATTGCCATCTGTACATCTGTTTTCATCCGTTTCCATTTGCAAAGCCATCCTCTGAACTTCTCAGGTTTTACACTTGCCTTTCAGGGTAACTATAATCTTACTGCAGATTGCTACATATTAGGAACCACCACAAGGCTTCCCTCCAAACTTGGGGTAAATTTGAGAGCGAGAAGGATAAATCAGCACTGTGACTCATTTTTCAAGTGTTATATTTTGCATATTTATTAAAATTCTCTTTTGCTTTTTTAGAAATTAAATCTCTTCTTACCTTATCAGCATCAGATACCTTTAAAAGAGAAGAGAAAACATACCTATTTGAAACTTCTGTGTACATGTTTTTTCTGTTTCCCTCTGTTCAATTACAGTGTAAGATTGTTAGGTATGCAGTAGTCATTCAGGTGATGGAAGTTATCAATTTAACTTGAAGCTAAACCAAAGGCAGAGTAATGAAACTCACTAAGCAGCCCTTAATATGATCTCTTCATAAGACATTTTATTTAAAAAACAAATTGCTACTTTCCTACTGGATACAGCAGAGTAACTACAATATAAAGTAGTATGAAATATTATGCTTACAGTGATGTCAGCCTGCAATCTTCAGTTTCCTTTTTGAAGTTTAATACATTTTTAATTTTCTTAATTTTTCTTTAAACTAATGTGTACTTTTCTAATATCTTGGTATTTTCATTTTTACTTTCCAGACTGCTAGTCTCTCATTCCCTAAAATTACATAACCATGTACTGCCACAAAATTATTTTAATCTATATTATTATCTTTTCTTTTTAAGGCCGTTCTTCCCTCTTCCCAATAGATGATGGGTTGCTGGACGATGGTCATAGTGATCAAGTTGGAGTCTTGAATTCACCTACCTGCTATTCAGCTCATCAGAATGGAGAACGAATTGAACGTTTTTCTCGGAAAGTGTTTGTTGGAGGTCTTCCACCAGATATTGATGAAGGTGAGCTGCCTGAAAACTAAGCAAACTAAGTTTGGAGGGAGAGAGAAATTTTGGAAAACCTAAATGAAGTAGTAGAAATAATCCACCCAGAAAAATAATGTTGTGGTGTAAAAGGCTACAACTGTATTTATATTTTATAAGAGCTGATGGATATGTTGAGCTTAATATCATTTGATGTCATTCATCTCTTTTGGTTTTGATTTAGTTTTAGTTTAGTTTAGTTTTAATCGGTTTAGTTCCGATTCTGCACTTGTGGATTATAGAGTTGCATGGGATGCCTGGAATTTGTACTCCTGCTTACCTTGCGTATTCTTTTCAAATACATCTTAGCCCTTCACAGTGTCCTCTGTCTGTGCCTGCTTTATTCTCTATTCATAGAAAACTTCTATTAGTAATTGAATTTCAAATTTTATTTTGCTATTACCTGAAGACCTCAGAAGTGGTTTAGAAAGGTTAATATTATTCCTGTTCGTAAATACAGAAACTAAGGCAGAGGAAGGTCAAGTGGCAGAGCACTCTGTGATGCATTGAACATACAATGTACCACAGAAGCTCAGATTGTTATGTGATACAATTGGAATTGCTTTGTATAATAGTGCTGATTTGAAGAAATCATGCTGTTTAATATTAGGTTTCTCCTGTGCAGATAAATGTAAATTACATGCTAGCTTTGTAATGTAAAGAGAAGTCCCTTTACAAGGTTGATTTGCAAGTAATCCTAGAATAACTTGCAAACCAAATAAGCTGACTGTGGTTAATTTTCAGACATGGAAAGACCATATTTTGGTTTCATCTTCTTTGTGATGCTCTCCTGCAATGTACTAAGGCATTTATTTTAATATACTTCAGGGTTTTTTTATGTACTTCACCTTCTAATTCAAATGTGTACTGTTGTCTTTTAATAAAAATGCTAAACAAAGACAATATATATTTTCTTTCTTTCCTGCCTGTTTATATGCTGATGGCAGGGTGCGACGGAAGGAAATGGAGCATATTTGTGTTTGATGAGTTATTGCTCCTGTAGAGTTTAGAGTGGTTTAATTTTTTCCTTATGGCCAAGGTTCTTACAGTCAGTGACAGGAAGGAGTGGCTGTGATAGACATCACAGGGTTGTGCAGGGGGTGTAGTAGATCTTTCAACAGGACTATTCATGGTTATGTTAGAAGCACCTCTAAATAGGCAATTTTAAGTTTCTTTGCCTGATCTGTGCATGGTTTCTGCTGGAAACTGCTAGCATGTTAATTGTGGTGGTACTTCTTATATGAGTATCTATCTACAAAACTCTGAACTGTATATCACTAAACTGTAAGTTGTTTTCATTGCATTCAAACCAGATTCTGAATTTAAGGAAGTAAAGGCAATTTTCACCACTGCCTTTAGTTGCCCGTATGTTTCTGCAATTCTCCTGTTACTGAGGAATAAATAACAAACATAAATCACCAGAAATATATTGCGTAAATATTAATGCATTGGAAAATGTTTCTATTTAAGTTTCTTGTTCATAGAAGTTGGAAATTTTGTTCCCTTTTTCCCATGATATATCAACTTTTGCTAGAAACAAAGATCTTTGCTTGATAGTACTTTTTCATTGAGTTATGTCATTTATTTTAATTGCAACTGTTATACCTGGTTTTAGATGAAATTACTGCTAGCTTCAGACGATTTGGGCCTTTGGTAGTAGACTGGCCTCACAAAGCAGAAAGCAAGTCCTACTTTCCACCAAAAGGTAAGAGACTTGGAAGGTTTTGACCTGTCACTGAGTGCAAATCCTGCTCTGGGAAATTGTCTCATCTTTTTCCAAAGGGTATAATTTACAATCCCTGTGAAGAGTTAATTCTACAGTTCCATTGCAAGTTCAGACATGGTTCCTTTACATGCCAAGTCTAAAACCTGAGACTGTTGTTTTAGTATTGTGCCTGGTTCAGTTGCTGGACTCCTGAAGGATCTTCCATATTCTGATTTCCGATGTATCAGATCAGCATTATATAGTTGTATGTGTCGTTAATCCTAAATTCTGTATTTGCATTTCTGTCTGGTTTCCAAAACTGAAATTTGGTCAAATTTCTAAGACTATATCTTAGATAAAAAATTTTGTAGGAAGTTACAGGCAGGATTCAGAAGGATGCATTCAAGATCATCAGTTATGTTTATTTCAATTTTAGGATGTGAACTTCCTACTGAAGCACTAATTATCTTTTTTGATAAATTATTAAATACTGATTTTTAACTATTTCTAGCGTTGCTGTTAGACTAGATTTTTTAATATCACTTATAAAGTGTTGGAAAAGCGATTCTGTACATTAATTAAATTATGTAGCATATCTCTGTACATGTACAATCATGTATTGGTACATATAAAATAAATGCAAAAATCTGATCCAGATAGGAAAGCAATGCAGAGATTACTCATTTTGTAGAGAATGCAGCAATTCATTCCTTCCCTGGAAGTGACAAAAGTAGGCATACTGCCTTTATGAACTGATTCTTCATTTATTTATGTGACCATCTATGTTGGGGAAAAGACAGTATTATTATCCCAGGTGGTTCTCTAAAGAGTGGAAATTTAAGACAAACAAGGAGACTTCAACTTAGGTTGTCAGCCTGATACACAAAGCTACTGTCAAGTTAAATTTAATTATCTGAAGGAGTGCATCTCTCTTCATAAATTACCAAGAGAAATTCTTGACGAACTCTTTGAGGAAGATGCACCTCACAGAGTCTGTGATGAATTTATAGAAGAGGGAAGATGTAATATATTCTTACCTGAAAGGAATGGATTCTGGTCATTTCCAAAGAGATAGTCCTGTCTGAGCATCTGAACATCTTAAGGATAAATTTCCAGACATCCTCATTTAATAAAGCTTTTTGATATAGGTGGAATATTTATAAATACCACAGTAAAAAAAAAAATATTTAAAAAATCTATATTGTAAGCAGAGCTTTTTAAAGGAGACAGTACAGGTAGAAGAACTTCAGTCTGTTGATCTAATGAATTCAGGACACATTTGTGAGCTAAGTGATAAGTTGATTTCCCATGATTAACTGATCCTTATTTCAAATTTAATAGCACTTGCTGTTCTTCAATCTTAAAACTTTATTCTAATTTTTGGTTTGCTACATTATTCAATATTGTTTTGTAATGTAGCCTAACATTTAAAATACAGTGTAGGTTTCTTTTTGTAGATACTCTGGAAATACAGCTTGCTTTAACTGCTGAATATTACTGTGTTTATATGTGGTTTTTTCAGTGTAATAGATGTGGCCCATGATTACTTGGTAGAAGAATTTCTTAAAAATTTGTCTTAAGTATCACTCGCCATGTACACATATCATAGAATCATAGAATGGTTTGGGTTGGAAGATCTTTTAGTTCCAACCTCATTGCCATGGGCAGGGACACCCTCCCCTAGACCAGTTTGCATCTGAAACTGCTAAAGATAGGCAAAGTACTAAGAAAGCTTTGAGACTGATCAGTAATTAGCAATTTAGAAATATATACTTTATTAGCCCAGGGAGTTCATTGTTTGAGTTTTTTTACTTTTAGGCTCCAATTTCTAACTTGTTACTCTGCATGGAGTCTATTCAGTGTACATATTTTCACTGTTCAGTCTCGTTAGAGATTTGACATTGTATTACTTTCCAAAGACATCTCAGAACTCTCCAGTTCTGGACTGATTTATGTAGCAGTCTTCTCTCTGGTGAAGAGATACAGCCTGCTGGTTTGGGAGGTTTTTTTCCACTCTTGTTCAGTTTTCCAGGCTGTGGTTCCTTCCAGGCTGTCTGCTTACAGAAAGTCCTGAGGGAAGGCCAAGTTCATGATAAGTATTTCCTTGCTTGGAGAGATGCAAAAAGTGTCCTGATCCATCAAGGCTGGTTGCCTTTTGAGAAACACCAACTGCTTGTTCTTAACTAATTACATTTTGTATTGGCTCACCACAAAATTAGACCCAAAGAAAACAGGAATTTTAAAAACTTCACACTAATCTTAGAAGGAAACTTGCTCTGAAGCAGAACATTTTTTTCTGCTGAGATCAAAGTACAAAGTGTGTAAGTGATCTGCCAACTGTAATGGAGAATTCCTTCCTTTCTGACTTGCCACTGTTTATCATAACTCCTCTTATTACGTAGTTGGCAAATACACTTGTTTATGAAACAACACACACATCCAAAGCAACTTGCTGAGGTGAGGACTCCTTCTTATGATAATGAAGCTCTGAAAGAAATGGTGCCGGGAGGATATGTGAATCCAAAGAAGGCCTTTCAAAATATGCCCAGTTGTTAATGTGCTCTGTACTGTTTATAATCCGTATCAAACAGAGGATAATCTGATTTAAACAGGACAGTATCCCCAGCCTTTTCTAGTTGTCTGGGTGTTTCTATTGCCTTCTATCACAGCAGTTGTGCAATAGCTTCCTTCATTCAAGGTTCTTAACTGCTAACTTAGAACCGACTGAAAAAATTAGGTTGAAAGTGTTCTGGTTTTAGTTTAAGAAGCAAAACCCCAGGTCCATCCAAGTTCTGTTTAACTTGTTACCAGCTTACTTGATCACACTGGCTAGGATTGAACTCTGGATTCAGGCAAGTAATTGCAGGTGTCTTCATGTGTGATTAGTGTCTAAGCTTCCTTTAATCAATGGGAATCTGGCCAATACAGTCAGTGGAGTATAGAAGGCTATTCAGGTCACCGTAACATAGGCACATTGAGCTTGATTCATTTACCCAAATTGAGGATATCGAAAAGATTTACACAGGTCTGGCAAATGCGGCGTGGCACCTATTGAAGCCCCACAGCACTCTGGAGCACCAGCTGAAGGTTAAGCAAAGTGCTATGGAGGATAAATGGTGCTAGACACTTCTGTGTCCCACTTAGTCGGCTGAGTAACCGTCCAGACACCACTGACCACATTAACTGGATCTCTGTACTGGAGTAGGAGCTTAAACACAGTCACTGCAGAAATACAAAAATAGATGTTTGGATCTTGAAGTGAATCCTGCTCCCCCCCCTGCTCAAAAGTGTCTCAGCTAATAGCTATATTACAATTATATCAGCCTGCATTTTTTCACTTCAAATGTATTTTGGAGTTAATTCTCCATCAAACATGACGAAACTAAATGAGTGAAAGATTTATGTTTTAAAGATTAAATTTAATTAATATGGTGATGAGATCTCTTTAAAGAGTAATAGATTAAATGTTGTGTGTCCTTCCCAAATGTGAATTATTCCCATCATGAAATATAGATCCATTGTCTGTATTAACCTGCAGTTTACACTGATTCTTTCTGATTTAAGCTGAGGCGCAGCATTCTGTGGGCAAGAATTGCACTGCACTGAGGTTGTTCAGTCTGCTCTGGGGAGGGTCTGTCAGGATAGTAGAGGAACCAACCCCAAAACAAAATACAGCTGTACTGGCTGGCGTGGACAGTGCTGTGCTGGCTTGCACTGATTTCCTTGACTCATTCTCTAAGCCACTAGTGAGAGGAGTTTCCTGGAGTTTGATAGAACTTAAAGCTCTCTGATTTCTACACAGAGTATGCATAGCAGAAGAAACGACCTTTCTCCTTTTGATAAACTTCCATATTACTATGAAATAACAAAATTGTACCTTGCTCAGAAAATTGTTAGCTACCAGTGTGAATGCCTTGCTTTTGATTTGTTCTTTACGTAATAAATACAAAAAATGAAAACACTGGTTCTGTGTTTTCTGATAGAGTGAGGAAGGGGGGTTGTTGCTGGTTTTGTGGGGTTTTTTAATTCTTACAAAGGTTTAATTTGGTAATACAGATAGGAGTCTTCAAACTTAACTGATGGACTTTCTGCTTCCAGTGCTGACCCAATACATTAAGAAGAAAAAATACTGAATTTCTTGGTCTTGTTTGGTTAAGAGAGATATCAACTCAGAGTAAGGATGCTTATAACCAGTGCAGTATCTTCAGGTATCAGGGAATGTAGTTTTAAAGCCCATTATCATCTCCAGAAAGGTTTGTTTATTACTTGAGGTAATTTTCTAAGGATGGGCATTATCAAAGTCACCCACATTAGTTCCCTTTGAAAATAGGATCCAGTGTTATGCAGAGGAATTTAGTCAAGTGATTAACACTAACAGGGGTTTCCTAAGCTTTGTCTCCCACAGGAGGCATAAATTCTGGTAGGGGTACCCATGAACAAGAAATTTTTATAAGACTCCTTTTCATCTAATACTTTTCACCTTGTGAAATATGTACAAAACATACAAGCTTTGTCTCTTGGCAAGTAATATCTAATCGTGATCTGCTACTGTAGGTGTACATATGACCCAAAGGTATGAAGCAGCTTCCTTCAAAGTAAACTATTAGAGTAGCTTTCCTTTTCCACTGTAAACAGACTTGCATTGCTGTTGGGTGTGAAGCTGTTAAATGACTGATGTGGTATGCCAAAAAAACAAGCAAATAGGGAGCTAAGCTGTTTTGTAGTATAGTAAAACACCTCCTACTCTTCACCCTACCTCCCCACGGTGTTTCAGTGACGTGTACTTTCTATCACACATGTAGTGATAAATGTAGTTCAGTACAACTCCAAAAAAGACTAGTTAAGCACTTGATCTTTTTCATCATACTTATGCACATGACTTACCGCTACCATACTAGCTTTGCAGACATTAAACATCCACAGTGGTTCATGAGTTACGGATGTTGAGGTGAAAAATAATCCGATAAAAGCATATATTGAGAAAGCAGAAAGGGGTAAGAATGAAGTCTGTGCCATACAGTTGTTGTGCATGCAGTAGCTGTAGTAATAAGAAGAGCCCTAATTTATGATGTCTAAATGAAATACCTAAGATAAGAGTGTAATTTCCCTTTGCAAGCACTTTTTAGCTGATGAATATAGGCTGGTTGCCTATGTAACTGGTGTTCTTTGGAGAAGTCTGTGGCTAATGTGTAATTGATTTGTGCCAGGAAATGTCCCCTGGTCCAGGGCAAGTGATGGAGAGTGGTTTGTATGCTGACTGTGCAAGTCTAGCATCCTCTCAAAGGGATTGGCTGTCTCTGTATATGGCTATAAAACGTGAGACCTGAGCAAATTATCTTCTCTAGCCAGGTTTCTTCACGAAGAGAACTGGTTATTTTCCTCCAGACTAGACTTGGAGAGTAAACTAAAATGCCTTGTAGATCACTGAAGGAGTAGAGCTGTAGAGCAAAACTGCAGCCAGACCAATTTGATAGTACAGACTATACCCTAACTTTCTCTGTGTCTTCAGAAGGGGAGGAGTACAGCGAAGCTCATGACACAAGCCTGTCTGGTGCTTAAAATTAAGTGGGATGAACCCAGACATGAGTACATGCTTTGCAGATTAACACTGAGAAAGCAGTATTAATGTATAGTTTTGGTATTGCCTTCTTTTTATTTCAGGTGTGGTAGGATACAGTATTCTTAACTGTTCCTTCATCAAGCTCTTGTGTTTGAATTTTCTCTCTTTTTACAAGCTTCCACAGTTAAGCATATTAATAGCTGCAGATGTACAGGTGGTAGATCATTTGGAGACACTGGCCATATTTATGTATCAGGAGCTATATGGCAGTACCCTGGCTTTTCTTTAGGATAAGAAATCGATGGAAAAATCAGCATCTGGCAAAATATTTTACTCACTTGTGGCTGAGAGTCTTGCTCTGTATGTCTGATCCCTTAGTTGGTATCATGTGCATTTAGCCCTCCCTTTGATTAATCTAGTTTTTGCAGTCCCATCATTCTTGTACTGAGCTCTCCATTCAAACAGAGATGTGTATGCCTGTCTTCCTCCCAAGTAAGGACAGTTGTTACACGGATTTAGTCTCACTTAACCCATGCCAGTCTGCACATACCCTTGTTCAGTGAGTGAGTTTTGCATGGGTAATATCTGGATTTTAAATTCTAAGATAAATACTGGAAGATATCCCCACTAAAACAGATTGTGAATCTAAATAATTTCTAATTAAGCTTAAGTTAAACACGTCACTAAAAAATATTGTATGGCAATGAAAAATGGACTTCACAAGGAAATGCTTCAGCCAAAGCCCAAAGATTCCCTACGGCATATTTGTTAAGAAACTAAATAAGATTTGCACAAAATTATAGACTACATGAAACTTTGTCAGGTGTCCCTTGTAGGAAGCTGTGATAGGACCATGGTATGAGGGATAAGAAATGAGGGGCAAGTTATTAGAAACACCAGTATAGGCCCTACAGCTTTTTCTTAAATCCTGCTTTTGTTCCCATATATCTGGAATAAGTCATGCATTTGTTTCTCTAATCTTACGTTCTTCTTAGCATGTCAATTCTTTAATGCATTTCAGGATGTACCCTACCATCTTTGCCTTGATGACCTACACTGTCTGTTTGCTGTAAGAATTGCCAGGGGTTAACTAGCACCTTGCAGAAAAACAGTATTATTTCCAAAAGGCTTGGTAAAGCAGCCACACTCCCTCTTGCCAAGCCCGCTCTGGAGCAACTGTTTTGGCATTTACTTTTCCATCCCAGTAATAAAACATAACTTCTTGTGAAAATTCCACACTTGGTAGTAATCTCAGAAAGAAATGTAGATTTATGATCCTTTTAAAGTTCATTTTCGAATACAACCCTAATTGTGCTTTCAGGCACCTGTAAAGTGACAAATTTTGTATATATCATTGTACTGTAACTGTTAAAATATTCTAACGTGAGGTTCTTTGCTTGTCTGACTGTTTGTTTTTACTGCAGCATTAAATAAGCATTTTAATTCCTATTTTTGTAGTGTTTGGGAGGTTTGCCGGGTCACTTATGTAACAAAGTGCTTTGATCTAATCTCTAGGATAGAGATTAGCTGTTTGTGCCAAGTCGGATTTTCATTGTATAATGTCCATTGGTGCCAATGAATTATGCTCAGCCTAGACTTCCAGTACATGATAAAGCAGACATGTTTGCTTTTATTTGGTTATTAGTCTCTTTTGAGAATTATTTTAAGGATAGAAGTATTTGCCTGAAGTTCTGTTGATCATGGCAAGGCAGTACATAGTTAAAGATGATGACTAATAACAAAGAATTGGTTTGACTTCCTTTTAGGTTTAGAGTAAACACATTTGTATGGAAAAGTCACTGGCAAAGATGATTAAGAAAGATAAAGATGAGAGAAAATATATCTCTTGGTTTGGGTTTTTTCCCAGGTTATGCATTCCTCCTGTTCCAAGAAGAGAGTTCTGTTCAGGCCCTGATTGACGCCTGCATTGAAGAAGATGGAAAGCTCTATCTGTGTGTTTCCAGTCCTACTATCAAGGACAAGCCAGTAAGTAAACAGTAGATGGCCTGCAGGCTATAGCAGCCATCTGTCTGAAGCTGCATTTGAAATGATCATGATGAAAATAATCAAAAGCAAACTACCATTGGCAGAGCTCAACATCTGGAACAGTTGGATGGTTTTAAAATTGTAGTGGTTTGAATGAGTAGGATTAAAACAGAGTACCTAGACATGCTAAGCTAATGGAGTTATGACTGACAGCTTACAGAGGCTGATGCAATGTAACTTCAAGTAGCATACTATTTTCTTTCCCAATTTAATAGGTTCAGATCCGTCCCTGGAATCTAAGTGATAGTGACTTTGTGATGGATGGTTCCCAGCCACTTGATCCTCGAAAAACAATTTTTGTTGGAGGAGTCCCTAGACCATTAAGAGCTGGTGAGTATAATCTGTGGCTATTTTTAAAAGTAGGACATTATTGGAAATAATTTGAATCATGCATACTTTTGTGTAGTTATGTACGGATAGATATAGATATAAACATATAAAAGTAGAAGACTGTCATGACAGTTACAACCACAGTACAATATTTGTGTATTCTTACATTTCTCTAGTAACAGTTTTCATCTGCTTTGGCCGTAAATCACCGTTCATTGTTGAGATTTACTGGAAACTTACATGTCTAAGGCTGTAGAAAAGATTTTTATCATATTAGCAAAACTTTAACGTAAACTATGTCATGAAAGAGTTTGTTTTTAACATAATGCTATGAAAACCTCTCTGCCATGCTCCATGAGTACCTGCTTGTCATTGCGCATGAGGTACTCTTCTAGTAAGTAGATTGAAGTGTATGTTGGAAGTAGAAGCATAACATACAGTGGTTCAAATCCCGTTTTCTGTTAGAATGACTCCTAGACTTCATTAGCTTCCATAGTTTGTAATTAATTTTATTCTTACAGAAAGATGAGCTTTCAGATGGAAGATGTAGGAGAACCAAGAAGTGATAGTGCAAATTTGGGGTATAAAGAATCTTAAATTTTTCTACTTTGGACCTGCAATGATCAAGCTTTTCTGTTATTTTACTTTCAAAACTCTACTTTTGACTGTAGTACAAGCTCTGTAAACTAGCATAAACACAGTATGTTCCAACTGCAGATTAATTTTTCGTTAAATTCAGTACACATACTCCAGATTACTGTGCTGAATGCCTGTGATAAATTTAAGGGATGAATTCTTATGCTTAGCTTTCAAATGCCCTGTATATATGAAAATGAAACTTTTATGGCATTGTGAAATAAGAATCATGCCTTCACAAAAGCAGTAAACAAAACCAAACTGTTTTTCAAACAGTTATTGAACAGCAATGACTGCTGACATCTTTATACCCTAATACATTAGTATTTTCCACCTAAATGAATTGCAAAACTGAATTCAGTATAAAATATTAAAGTATAAAATATCAAGTATAAAATACTTGATCTGTAAAATTTGAGATTTTTGTTTCTATGAATGTCACTATCTATGGTAAGTGTAGCACTGTAGAGATAATCAGGCTCTGTGTGGGTGATGAAAAGATGCTAACTACATCTTGAAATTCAAGTAAGACATAGAGCATTAGGACAGCCAGAGAACATGTAGCAAGGAATTTGTGGCATGTGGATCTATTTTATACAGCTTACATTCCATGCCTGCCCAAAAAGTCTTTTGCTGTAATCCCCTGAAGAAAACTGCCCTGGAATTTCAGTTCCAGGTTGTCAAGGACTGCAGGGACTTAGAATTCCATTGTTCCTTGGATGTATGTACCCATAGTATGAAAGATCTGTCTGCTGAGTATTTCGTAGCTTATTTAATACGATTTTATATTTCTTGGTATTACTGTTACATTGGCAGTTGCAAAATTAATTATTAAAATAAACTTTTTTAGTATTTTTATATACAAGCATATTATATAAAGTTTGTACTGTAAGAACAGTTTAAATGAACATTATTTTGTTTCTTAATAGTGGAATTGGCTATGATCATGGACCGTCTCTATGGTGGAGTTTGTTACGCTGGAATTGATACTGACCCTGAGCTGAAATACCCAAAAGGTGCTGGACGTGTCGCTTTTTCCAATCAGCAGAGTTATATTGCTGCCATCAGTGCTCGGTTTGTTCAACTTCAGCATGGCGATATTGATAAACGAGTAAGTTATAGAGAAATTAAAAAAAAAAATAAAAGTAAGAGTGATGATCTATAAAGGAACTTCTCCAACTGTGGTAACGTTGCATTTGATTGACTTTCATGTCAGCTACATTCTTTTAGTATTCCTGTAACTCCACTAGTTCCAAGAGTTAAACAGTGAATGCCTCCTGAACGAACAACACGCATTCCACAAAGCAGCAGCTTGTTTCTTGGACATGTGTTAGACCATATGTTCTTTCCATTCTGGAGTTCCTGGTTTTGTTGTGTATGGGCAGAGGGCTTGAAAATCTTTTTCTCTCCCTTGGTCTAATGAAACCAAATAATGTGATAATTCCTCTGTCATCCATAGGAAACTCTAGTATTCATTGGTTTCAGATTAGCTCTATATTTGCAGCTGCCCTTAATTTCAACCATAATTATCAGTGCTTAGCACTTCAGAGAATCAATCAGCCTCCACACCTAAAATATAAAGTGTTTTATCCTTTCTGTTTGAGAGCATCTTCTGAGTATTTAACAATGTACGTTTCTGGTTGTTACAGATGCTTATTGCTAGCTAAAGCAAAACTAACTTTTATTAAGAAGACTAATCAACTTCATTTACACCTAATGAGAAGTATCAGAGTAGCAAAGAAAACTGCCATCTAAATTATGTCAGTTTTAAGTGTCACTAGTTTTGACGTCAGGAGCTGCAGAGGTTGTCACTGGTATTAATAGATGTTCTTTTTTTAAAAAAAAGATCTTAGAGGAAGAAGGGTTGAGTAAGTAAAGTAGTTCAAGGTCCAGTCTCCTTTACAGATCAAAGACATGGGAAAAAAGAAAGTAGTACAGTTAACAAAATTCTGCTGTAGGGAGGTAGCATGCGCTTCTCCTTTCAAATGGGCAAAGTAATACAGCTTTACATCTGTCTCTCAGATACCAGTTGCCTGGTGAGCTGAAATCCCCAAACATGGCCCTTTCCAGAGGATGAGTGAGTCTGAATGTCGGTAGTGAACGAGGCTTCACATTAAGATGTGACGGCTACGTTTTGCTGCTGGAATTGCTGTCCTTGACTTGCAGCTGACTTTGGCTAATAGCTCTGCCTTTGGGCTAATTATGTAACAGGAAAAATATCCTTGACACTGTGACTGTGTGAGGGGAAATAAAACTATTAATCATCTTTCATTTGAGTATTTGGACAAAATAGGAGTAAGGACCAGACTCTAAAACACCTAAAGAAATGCTAAATGGATCATTTAGCTTCAGAATCAGATATAGCTCAGTATCTTTCAGGAACCGTCTATAGTGGATTTGGCTGTAAAGTGACCTGACTTTAAACTTAGAGTGGACAGTTGGGTCCCATCCAAACTTATTCTCCCTCAGGGGTGGGAGACATGGACTTTGAACAATGGAAGGTAAGGGAAACCTAGATCTTGGTCTCCTCTTCCCATGGGAGTGTCCTTTGCAATAGAGGAGTATGTGGTAGACTGGCAGTGCCATCTCAGAAAGGAAGATATGAACTTGTCTTTGAAGGCTGCACTTCCAAGTATGTTGGTTTGGTTTTTTTAATGTTAGGTCACCAGAGATTTTAAGGGCTCTTTGGATGCTGAGAAGGCATCTGAAATGGCAGTGCTTGCTGTTTGTAGAGAAAGGGGTATAACTTGTTAATGTGTGATATAACACTGACATCCTTAAAGGGGAAAGGGCATGTGCTGCAGGTCTCTCAGAGCTTGGGCAGGGGAAGAAACCCAAAAAATCTACACCAAATACTAGATTTCAGAAGCACAGCATGTGAGTTATATTCATGAGACTTAATTTAGCAAAACAGTAGTCAAGTGATTTCTTCAATCACTGTTACAAAAAAAACTACCACTAAACCAAAAAAAACCCCACCGCAACACAAAACGGAAGACGCATGTAATGTATCTGTAGATAGCTGTTCATGGGCTGAAGAGGTTGTGGGGAGAGGGAAGGAAGTTCTAGGCTTTCTCTTTAAATATCTGAACTCTCACAGTTTCTTTTTTGTTATAATTTGTGTTCTTACTTTAGTGTTGCTTTTCTAATTCTTGAAAAATAATTTTTTGACTCAAGTATTCCCTTAAATCTGGAATTTTGGGTATTTTTATTAGTGTCCTTGTTTTTTTCTTATTTTTAAAAATGTGTGCTACTCCTGAGGTATTTCACTTGCCAAATACAGCAATGCCAAACCTAAGTATTTTAATAAATTCATCTTTAAATCTTGTGATAGGGAAGGTTTATGAGCTTCTTTGTTTATTCCAGAGGTTTTTTTAATCTTTATTTTTTAAAATCATCTTCTCAAATCATATGGTCAGTCCTTATTATTTATATAATGATATATATTTATACCACCCAGTTATTTGCGTTACTGAGGAGTAATAGAGAACAGCCTCTTTTTAGGGAACACCTTAACTCTTAGCTGTTTCTGAAAGTATGAAAAAAGCTATTTTTTAGAAATAGTTTTCTGCTCCATGGAATTTATACACGAATGCCTTTTCAGGCTCTGAAAATATTCTGATACCAGTATTACTGCTGATTTATAGATGAGCAAGCAATTTGTATAAATCTATAAATCGCTGTTTTTGTAAATGAAGATGACAGTCCTACTTCGGGTGCTGCCTTCATCTGAGCTGTGTGTGTGTGCTGGCCAATACAGCGATACGTTACATATTTCCCTGAAATTGTGGAGGCAGGCTGTTCTCCTACCCTTTACCTTAGTGTAGCCTTTCTATACCAGTTATATCCAGTTTCTGTAGGTCTGCTGTCCTTTCACATTCTTTCCC